AACTAATAATTATATAAATATATAAAAATGGTAAGATATACATCATGCACAAATTTATAAATTTTAAGTACTAAGATAATTATTTTATTATTAATATTTTATTTGTATAAATTTCTTGGGATTAAAATCATCATTTGATGTAAATTTGGATTTAATACATTATTAATTTCATTTAGTTATAAAATGATAATTTTAAATGTTATTTCTTTTAATTTTTAGTTGAAACTATTAATCATAAATATGCATTGTTTGGATGAACACAAAAATTAATAAAAGTAATTTTATTTCACTAATTCACGTAAAAGGTGAAATTGCGTATTGGCTTAAAGTAGTTGTAAGAATTTTAGTGCTATCATTAATTGATTTAGGTTCAAGTCACACTTTAAGCATTAATAAACATTTTTCAATAGAAAGTGTTAATTAACCTTTCCAAAAAATCCTAGCTTGGGCTTGGGTAAGACATTTTGCATGGGTACCTTATCCGTTGCCATTCCTAGTTTTGTGAAAATTAAAAGGTATTAGCAATAGATTCCCATTTTTAACCTGTTCTAATTTGGGCTTGGACATGAATTTAGGCATACTAGATTGGGCTTGAGCCCAACTTTTTTTTAGGCCAGGCTCGAGCTTTCTCAAAAAAGCCTAGCCCGAGCCCGAGCCCGAGCCCGAGCCCGAGCCCGAGCCCGAGCCCGAGCCCGAGCCCGAGCCCGAGCCCGAGCCCGAGCTCGATTTAATAATATATTATATAAAAAATGTATCTTATATAATAAAAATATACATATGATATGTTATTTTCTTTGTTCTTCTTTTCGTTTTATAAGTCATAGTGAGATCTTTTATAATTTTTGGGTTTTAAGGTCTTTTAATATAAATAAATTAATTTTTTATTGAGTAAAAAAGAAAAAAAAAAACTTTTTTTAAGGGCTGGACTTGGACCCAAGACCTAGGCTTGATGATTAGTTCGGGCTCGAGCCTAAATGTATTTTATTAATACAGAGAAAAAGCCCGGGTAGAGAAAGTTAGTAGGAATGGCCCATGGGATTTCCTTCTATCAACTATTCAACTTGGCTTTTTCAAGATCAACACTTCAATTGCTTGACAAAAGGGAAACGAAAGGGAACTCTTTTCGTTGTGGTCATATGCAAACTGCCGCAATGGTGTTTTCCATCTGTTACAAAATTAAAATTAAAATCCCCATCTAGACAACTTTAATTCAGTCTATTTTTCATAGTTGGTTGAAAAAATCTTTTTGAAAAGGGGAAAAAAGAATTGTTTTCCCTTGAGACATTTTCTTGGTGAAAGCTTTCTATGTTTGGCCATGTGAATTGCAGGGGAAAGTGCATAGGTCTAGGCTATCCATCTAAATGGGGCACCCAAACACTACTATCTTCCCTTAACGGAGAAAAGAAAAGAGGAATATCAGTCACATGGAGTGGCTTTGAAGGAATCCGGATTTCTTCCTCACAAAATGGTCCTCACAGCACTTGCAGCGTGCATTAAGTATATCTTTTTATGAAAGAAATCTGGAAACTTGGTTTGAGTTTACTATCATCCCAAAAGCAGACCTTGATGCCAAAGATGATGACCCGGTAGCTGAGATTTTCACTAAGGCTTGGTTCGCTTTTTGGTAAGTTACACTTACCTGGATAAATGCACTTACTCGGGTAAGTCTTTCTTGGGAAACACTTATCCGGGTAAGTGCATTTACTTGTGTTCTTTTATTTTCCATGCAAACAAGACAATGACCATTTTAGTCACAAAAATTGATTATTACAATGGACATTTTTGTCTCATTCAAGTATTGGTAACTTTTTCCTAAGGTGGAAAAATTATTTATCCACCTAAAAAATGGGTATCAGCCCAGGAAAATAAACTTTTCCTAATTCCCACAAATCTAAAAAAAGAACATGGGAATCAAAATCCCATTGACCAACTTTCCCCCTCTCAAGATCCAAAAGAATGCCACACGAAATTCAGGTGTGGGATCAAACCATAAAAATGAAAAACTCTTTAAAAATGAGGTATACGGTTTATTGAGGGACAGAGGGAGTCAATAATATTGGAGAAAAAAAGCGAATGTCAGAAGTGGGATTTGAACCCACGCCTTCTTTCGAAGACCAGAACTTGAGTCTGGCGCCTTAGACCACTCGGCCATCCTGACTACTGCGTTAGGCATAGTTTCGAATAATTTAACATGGCATATTTTAACCGAATTACTGATGATTCAGTGAACTATAATCATCAGTAAAAAGCAAAAATAGTGGAATAATAACCGGTCTATATTATCAATCTCCAAAATGAAGTACTGAACTAAGTGTTCTTGACTTTCTGGGGCCGCTTGATAATATGCCAGCAACTGAAGTGGCTAGGCTGAAAAAACTTATTACTTCGTCTCGTAGTTAATAAGTTTTTTAATAAAGTTGTGTTGTCTCTAACTGAAGTTGAAATTGGCCAAATTACTTACTATCAGGGTGTTTGAGTCCGTAGGTGTTTATTCAATAAACACTGCCGCATAGATGCCATTTCAGTAGTTTGTTTATTTTTCTCTTTCATAAATATCGAGAATGATAAAAGCGAACTTCTGTTTTTGTGCACACTTATCATTTAGAAAAATTATTTTCTAAAGCTTTCACAAATGGTTAGATGTCTTTTTGCTGTTAGGCTGTTGTGGAGTCTAGTGGCGCTTAGTTGTCATAAATAATTGTAATTGTTATCTTTTTCATTTTGTAAACAAATAAAGTACAAATGTTGAATAAAAAAACGTAAACGAAATCAAACACATACTATATCTTTCGATACTTTATTATTTAGTTGTCCCAAAAAAAACATGTAATAATTCACGGTCTATTTAGTTTACTGTCAGAATCAGAATTAAAATTTCTCGAAATCAAAATGAGTATGGTTTATTTTTATAGTCTGTTTAATTCAAACAGTAATAAAATCGGAACTCGAATCAGCTGGAATGAGACCTCATTCCGATTCCAATTCTAGATCCCTGTTATATTCTCACAAACCAAACGACCCTCAATACAGTTCAGCAACTTTTGAAATGTTACATTAAAGCTTAATATAGTTAACCGTTCTAAACAGTTAATCTAGTCCACCAATATTAAAAAGATTCAGTCTCATCAGTGTCTTCAGTCCAAAAGGCCCTCCTGATGATATCATCGAGACTGATAAGATATTTTCAATGCACGGCGGGGATATGCTGTGGGACGTTGTGAAGCGCAAAAGTAAACTCCTACCTTCCGCCTTCCTGCAACATCGCTGGGTTTAAGGGTTAAAGAGAGGGGTGTTTTGTTTCAGAACTCAGAGAGAGAGAGAGAGAGTGTCAAGGGATCTAAAGCCTAAAGGGAAGTAGGGAATTGTTTCTCATGCAGTAAACAAAGGCGTACAGCATGGTTGAGAATCCAATGCTACCAACGTGAGGTTATAGTACTTCCAATCTATTTAAATATAACGTGATTCCCCTGGACGGTGGACCCAGTCTCCTAGGTGGCACCAACTTAACTGTCCTTCTGTTTCGACGTGTCAACTTCACAGCCAAGCGCGTTGGTCCCACATCGCAAATAAAATCCACGTCATTATTCACTAACTGACGTGGATCAGCATCAGCATCTATCTTTCCTGGTAGGTGTGACGTGACCCTCTTAAAGCAAAAGTGACAACTACTGGTTCCGTCTTCGCCTGCCAGAAAGCCAAGTCCAGGGGTCGCTTCTTTTTTTTACCGTTCTTCCCTTGTATTTTCTTCTCGGAACGTCCGTCCAATTTTTGTCAGACCTTGCCCGAAAAGAAAACTGTGGGACGAACGAACGACGAAGGAGGCTGGAACTTGGAAGGAGACCGATGAGAGTAGGGTCTAAAACCACGGTTGCCGGGTTGCCGACCTCCGTCACCGACGAATCGGGAGTCGAGCTGACGCCGTTAGGCGGTTTGGGACCGAAAAACGGTCGGAATTTTATTTATTCATATTAATTATGAGGACAATAATGACCATGATGAATTAATTTAATAAGGGAGAATCCGGTAAGATTCTTTATTAATCTCAAGGCACGTGGCGACTTATAAGCAATGCAGCACTAGAAATTAGAGACTTGTACAGCAAAAAAAATTAAATAAAAATAAAAAAGAAATGTTGCACCACGCTCGCTGGCAATGCCTGGCACGCGTGGACAAATTATTTTTGGAGACGTTGGGAAGGTGACAAACGTATATTTTGTTGATGGACCAAAGTACCCCTACATATGGAAAATAGACGCGTGACTCAACAGACAACAGGCCCCGAAGTAAGATAAATTTTCATTCCAAAAACACCCTTATCTTTTATTTATTTCCGCTTTTCACTGATGTAACTCGGCCAAGGTTGTAATTAGTTGGCATTAAATGAATCTGGGTTCCCACTTGTATTTATAAAGATGAACTTAAATTCAATGACCAAATACGAAAAAGTTTGTACTTAAATAAGCAGCATCGGGTTCCTTGGGAAAGCCGTAGGAAGCTGTGACTGTTCATAGATGGCAGAAGCCAGTAGGTAGAATCGATTGAGGCAGACCCAAACCTGAAATGAAATCTCTGTTAAAAATATTCCTACTGGCTACAGGGAGATGAACTTAATGGAGGTTAATTTACATGTGATTTAGGTAATTAGGGAGATGTTACTTGTACAAATCAGATACATCAAAGGGTAGTCTTCAATCATTTTGAACAACCCGTTAGTCATTACATTAAAAAGAGGGCAGAAAAATAAGGAAAGAAGATAAAGAAAAGATGAAAAGGGTGTCCGGTCTAAGTCAGTATAGGGACGCACTGTTTCTGCAAAAGAAAAAAGAAGGGTTAAGTGTAAAACGTCGATGACAACACAGCTACACTAAAATGGATATAAATAAGATGTTAGCAAGAAACTTTGGTTTTCCCCTCCTACTGTCTTACTGGTCTCTTCTGTTCTGTTTCTCTGTTTTTATCTCTCTCTTGCCTTTCTGTGTATTCTAGCTACTCTTGTTTTTTTTTTTTTTTTTGTAATTTTATGGGTGGTAAAACCTCTGCACCATTCGTCTTCTCTTACTGCCATCTATCAGGGAAAAAAGCCTTGTCTGGGTTATTGTAATTATTGATTCTTCTTCTTCCTCCTCTCTATTTCAACCATCCCTACCAACACAACAATGCAGCCATAGTTTTTTTTTTCTCAGATTAGAAAGAAAGAAGATAATCTACAGCTACAGCTTCACTCTGTATTTCCTCGCACGACCAGCAAAAAAGGAAAAGCTTCAAAGAAAGAAAGAAAGGAACAACCAACAAACTAATAAAGGGTTACCTATATGGATTTTCTCAACTGTTCTTTCTCTTTGATCCTCAGCTTGATTCTGCTAGAGCTCTCAAGAGGTAAAATAGTTTTTCTCTTTGTGGATTCTGCGCTCTATGTTCTTGATTCTGAGATCGGAGGTGCTCTTACATTTTCTTTCGTCCCTTTATTTTTGTACTGCTGGTACCTCTTGCATTGCCCTATCTGATAAATCTCTATTCCCTCTCTTTCAGGTGTTTCAGGTACCACATTCACATTTGTAAACAAATGCGACTACACAGTTTGGCCTGGAATTTTAGCCAATGCAGGAAGCCCCAAATTAGATAGTACAGGTTTCGAGCTTGCAAAGGGCAGTTCTCGTTCCTTTCAGGCTCCAACAGGCTGGTCTGGCAGGTTCTGGGGCAGAACAGGCTGCAACTTCGATGGGTCTGGCCGGGGCAGCTGTTCCACCGGGGACTGTGGCTCGGGCCAGATAGAATGCAACGGGGCGGGTGCGGCCCCTCCGGCGACTCTGGCCGAGTTCACCCTTGGCTCAGGTAGTCAGGATTTCTACGATGTTAGCCTGGTTGATGGGTACAATCTACCAATGATTGTGGAAGGAAGTGGTGGGCAGGGTACGTGTACATCCACCGGGTGCGTGACCGATTTGAATCAGCGGTGTCCAACCGAGTTAAAAGTTGGAGAAGGTGACGCATGTAAGAGTGCTTGTGAGGCGTTTGGGACACCGGAGTACTGCTGCAGTGGTTCCTTCAATACGCCTGCCACATGCCGGCCGTCGGTTTATTCCCAGATGTTCAAGTCGGCGTGCCCGAAATCATATAGTTATGCGTATGACGACGCTACAAGTACGTTTACTTGTACAGGGGCAGATTACACCATTGCGTTCTGTCCTTCATCTTTAACAAGGTAAGGAGCCAAGGGGGAAGAAGAAAGAACACAAATAAATAAATAAGCAAACTGGGTTCTGTGAGAAGATCCATCAAATGCATATGGGTTTTTACAAGATCCCTGTTTTCCTTCAAAATGGGTTTCTCTATTTGTTTTGACCAAAATATTCAGCTCTCAAAATGGATTATTCTCCATGCCCATTTTCTTTTACTGTTCTTTTGGTTAGCTTTGATTGATCTGTTAGGATGCTTTGTTATTATTACGTTTTTTCAACATTTCCTATCTCTCATTTGTCCTGCAATTTGCTTAAGTTTTGTCTTTTGATTTCTTTTCTTTATTTTTTTTCCATACAGTCAGAAATCTTCGAGAGAATCGACGCCAAGAGCAGGGACTTCATCAGATGGGTCTGGATCGGGAACAGGGTCAGGGTCAGGGTCAGGAGCAGAAGCGATGCTGGCGGACGACTCATGGTTAGCAGCCTTGGCCACTGGGGGCTCAACCAGGATCCTCTCTTCTTCTGCTCTCCGGCAAACTTTAATCACTGCTACAACCACCAGTAGCATCTTGATTCTCTCCTTCCTTCGTTTGTAGTGTCTCTCAAGAGGGACAATTACAATTATTGTCGGCAATGGAGATCACCGTGACCGCCCCTCAGATTGACAGCATTGTTGGGTTGGGAAGTAGGAACTGGACAATTGGGGGTTGGGGGGGATTAAAAGTTAGGAAGGAGAACCGACAAATTCCAGATTGTAAGCCATCCATTTTTAGATTTCTCATATTTTTAAGTAATGTCACGTATATACAACAAGTCTAAAGAAAAATTTTCCTTTGCCTGCAAAAGTATAATGTATTCTTCTTTTTTAACTCTTAAGATTATTCTGTAATTGTGGAGCTAAAGCAACAAAGGAAGGGGCTAAGCTCTCTCTTTGGTTTAAGACAAAACACTTAAGAGTAAAGTATTGCTTTAACAGGAATCTGTCTATGATTGGTTGGTATGTAAGAAAGGACCACTTTGCGGGAGTTACAAGCTTGATAGCTTGTCGCTTTGTCTGCTATGGGAGGTAGGATGACCATTCATGTTGTAAAAGAAAGTTTCATGTATTCACTGTTTATGTTCTTCTATTGTTATATATATATATATATATATATATATATATGTATATTTGAAGTAAAATCATGGTTTGTTGGGAATGCCGAATAATGTAGCAGTAGTTGGGTCTTGGGTATATTTTAAAATCATGGTTTGTTGGGAATGCCGAATAATGTAGCAGTAGTTGGGTCTTGGGTGTATTTTAAAATCATGGTTTCTGGGAGATTCTGTCAAGTGAAATAAACCTTTCTCTGAGTTGTTTTAGGTAAAATCTCAAATCTGGCTTGAGTGAAAGAGAGAGAACTATAATAATCCTATCCAGCATAGTCACGATGCAGTTGAAATTTTTACATGGTGCTTTTGCATTATGTGATGGTAACCTCCAAACCATGCTTGTTCATTCCATCATTCTCATCAATCAATCGTAATCTGGCAAAAGTCATTCACAAAGGGCCAGAATATTTAGGTTGATTGGATGTTTAATATCACTGAATCCAAGGGGCCAGAGGAAAATTAATTGAGAACTGACGTAACAGTTCGATAATGGATCATTGGATGCCAAATGGACCAAATGCATGTGGACTGAACATCTTAAATACTGTTTGAAAGTCGTCTGCTTCTATTTGGATAAATGGTCGGCTAAAACTGAAAGGAACCGTGTTCTCATGGAATCAATACAGCCCAGATGTCTGAAATCGATCGAGGAAGGGCCACGGATAAGATTCTTGTTTTAGTGGACTGTGGTAGTGATTGATCAACTTGACAAGAGGAGACACTGAGCCACCAAATATTGGAAAGAAACAAGCCAACTTTTTCTAGAGTTCATTTTCGTCAATTGGGTGGGCTTCAGTTTTTATCTCTAAAGTTCTGTAAAATTGATTTCGTTTAGTAGTCTTCATCATCCAGATTTGATAATGCTACAATGAACCACCCTGTCAAGGACTTGGAAAGTGGGATCAACCTTGGCTTTGGCTAACTTTTACAACTCGGTGCTTGCCCATTAAGAACTCTAAACTCTTTATTGTGTGAACATAGAACTTTTACCACTTCAGGCATAACTGATGGTTTACTTGCAAATCTAGTAATCCACTTCAATCATTCTTCCACCACTTCTCAATTTCCCCTTATTGCTGTCAAGTGCAGAGAGTTTCAGCTTTTCTTTCACAAGTGGCAAGAAACAGCTAAGCGATTTCTCCACGTCAGGGCGCTTCTGTCACTTCCTAAGTAGGCAACCAGGCACTATTTCATTGGGCCAATAGAGAATTGTCTCCACTGGATCATAGAGGATCCGATCATCCTAACCCTTCAATTTGATACTCTTCCATTTTATATAAAACTAGTGTAAAACCACATGCTATGCACATATGCTGCAAGTATTATTCCTACAGATATATGTTATTTGGATTCAACTTTTATTACCTACACAGAACTCAAGGTAAATATCCACTTTATATTATATATTATAGATAATCTGACAAATAACCGGCCCTTAAGTTCTTGGCATTCCAATCACCTTTCTAAAAGGCATTAGTACCCTTATGTAATCATTTTATTATTATACGAATTCAGGGTACCATTTATCTTTCACTAGGATTGTCTCATAAACTAGAAACTGGTCTTATAATTTTAGTAAGATTCTAAATTCAAAAGCATATAAACAGAACAGTATTAAGCTACACAATTTTTGAGGGTATTCCTGCAACTTATGGGATCAAAACCAGCTAGGGTGTGCAAAAAGAAACAATCACATACAACCGGTTCAGACAATGTTTCCTAAAATGCACTTTAACATATAATTTCATAAAGCACAGTGCAAAGATCCCACGTTCCATAATAAATTCCATTTACTTAATCTAGAGAGCATCATATTTGCATCTTTTGACATTTCTACGCATCATCCTTTTGCTGGAATGTTATTGTCTATACTCATGGATGGCTATAATTAAAAGCATGCTCACATAAAGATAAGATTCTTTCTGCTCTGCCAAAAGTTTCAATGCACTCACCCAATTTTGTAATACAAGGAATTATATATGAGAGAATCAGTAAAAGTTGTTAACTAAATGATTTTATTTTCCTATTGATAGACCTCGAATGAGCAGGGGCCATGGATCCACTCGTAGTGGTGAATCAATGTGAAGACAAGTATATGGGACCTATCAATATGCCAAGTAACAAAGCATATCGGTATTCTAAAAGTATATGTAATCAGAAATTTATTATTTTCCCGGAAAAAAAACTAGTGCAGGACCACATATAGCCTATAATCAGCAAACAAGCATGATATGTAAACAACTCTATGTAAAAACTTAATATGATTTGAGGAATATGTGCAGAATTACCTTGTCGATTGGGGCCTGGGAAAGAAAGAAGGAAAATAGGTCCCAGAAGTTTAGAATGTGATTGTGATCAATGATGGGTAGCATTGATCCTTTTCATAATTGGAATAGAAACCATCTAAATCTAAAACTCTGATGAAGCTTCCGAACTTCTTGGTTGTAGACTTCAGTTATGTTGAATTGCAAGCCCACCCCTTTGACTTTCCCCAGAAACTTCTCCAATGAGTCACTTCTTTTGGAGCTAAAAAATATGGCTTCAAAAAATCTTCTAAGTACTTTGGCAAGGATTTGACAGTTCCAGAAAGGCCTCCATGGAATTTCTTGATTGATGTTCTGTTGAAAATCACATAATAAATCATGAAATAGAAATGAGATGCATTTTGCATCAACTTAAGAAAAGCCTGTATAATTGTTAGTAATGCATGTCCCATTACTCTTGTTTGGTAGTAAGAAAACTCAAAAAGCTAGGCAACCCCAGACCATATAGGTTTGAAACCAGCGGTAAGCTGTCTTGACTTATCACCATACCAATTAAATTCTAAGATCATTGAAAAGGAAATCCAAAGTGCCTATCAGCTAAGGATCGATACATTGGTATATGCATGCAGAGAGGTTGGTCCATGTATGATCCAAAAGTTGCACTAGAATGTAGTTTATAAATTAAAAAGGAAGCTAAAGGTTAACCTCATTTATTACATTGTTTATACCAAAAAAGAAAGTTTCTGTTTATTTTCCGTTGGAGATTAACATGTGTAGGAATTAGGATGTATATAATTTATTTTATTTTTATGAAGAGGTATATAATTTAATTATAACATGGAGAGTACATTACATAGAATATCTGATTCTTAAGGATGCAAACACAACCACAATGTGGAATACATAAAGGACCAGTCACAAATTCACAATTACAAACAACGCATAGTAGTGCCCCCATAAAAGTGTAATTAATTAACTGATCAAGGTTTTAAAAGGCCATTGGTCTTGAATGGACAAGTTCTAAGCCTCAAGGCATTACACCACAAAAGTTTCAAGGAATAATGTGCATTGTGGAATATTACTTATTTATTTAGTTAAAAGGAATAACGTACCTAGTTTACCTGATTAATATGTTAAAATTTATTTCTCAAAAGAAACTAACTTATGAATGCTTTCCAAATAATACTTATTGCATGCAGATTTTAATAATCAGTCCTAAATGGGTAGTAAAACACGTGGCTGCTATTAAGTTACCAAGTACATAAATTTAGAGATTAATAGGTCAAAACATATATTGTATTCCTTCAATATGCAATTTTCTTGTATACTTTGGAATATTATTTACTTGACAGCTAATTTATAAAATGGTGGGCTATTCAAAAGGCCTCATGGTGGAAAAGATTGAAAATAGGCGAGAGAAAATGTGAAATTTTGAGAAATATGTAGTGTATATTCTAATAGGCAGCAAACCAACCTGACAGAAAAGATCAATACTTTGACATGTATGCCTTTCATATTCTTGTCTCCTGTCCTCTTGCTAGTAGTATTTGGGATTGGTTTTTCTACCTATTTGGATGCAGGTGGCTCAAACTTTCTTTTAGATGGCCAAAGCAAAGAGGGAGAATACTGTGGAAGTGTCTGCACAAGGGCAGCAGTGCTATGGATACTATGGGAGGAAAGAAATCTGAGAATATTTGAAGACAAGGAAAGATGCAAGGAAGAACTGATAGAAAGTATTATGATGAAGGTGACTTCATGGGTGAAAACACTGAATTTATTTTCAAATTTTACAGTGGATGATATAATTAGGAATTGGAGGACAGTTGCTATCTCTTCCTTGGCAAAAAAGAAGGTCCTGAAGGATTGGGTGCCCCCTGAACCAGGTTTTATCAAATTAAACTTTGATAGCAGCAGTTTTGGAAACCCAAGAAGATCTGGAATTGGAGGGGTTATAAGAAATGAAAGAGGAAATGTGTTGGGGCAGTTTTCGGGTCCCATTGGAATTGGAAATTCCACTACAGCTGAACTGAAGGCAATGGTATATGGGATTCAAAAAGCTAAGGAGCTGGGAGTGGAAAAGCTAGTTATGGAAGGGGATTCCAAAGTTATCATCAGTTGGCTAAAACAACATGAAAACACACCCTGGCTATTCAGAAAAGACATCAAGAAGATTAAAAGCCTATCCAAGGACATGCATCTTTCAACTCGGTGGACCCCTAGAGCAGCAAATGGATTTGCAGACCAGCTAGCCAAACAAGGGGTAAACAGGGATCACTGTTTCTGGGCTCAACTGTAAGAGTGAAAAATCAACTTACTAGTGGATACATAACATTGTAGTGGGGTAGCAGAGGCTAATCATAAACTGTAACCCCTGTAATTTCTATTTTCATCAATGAAATTTCTTTTTATTGATAAAAAAATACTTTGACATGTCAACCTTGAAGTAGTGAAGCTCAAGATCCAAGTATACCAAGATCTCGAAGAGCAATATCAAATCTTAAAGACCATGTTATCATAAGAGAGGTCACACCCAATGTCGAGGTCTCCCATATTCAATATTGTCTTTTGACATGTCAATGGGAAATAACAGCCTCTACTGATGGAAAGTAGAAAGTTCAGATTCAGCAACAAAGCAAGTTCAGCATCTGAAGCAGAATGACAGCCTCTACTTTATGAGGGTCTTCATTCCACCTCAACAAACACTATTGCCTTTAGGTCCTTTGTCATTTTAAAATAGAACTCCACACCGATTAACCCAAATTCACTGTAGTGACCACTAGAAATGGCCCAATAAAAGGATTTTTACCCCCGAAATTCACATCCTAGAATTACTAATTACCAATATTTGATTGATGATAGGTTAAGGCCCAAACACTTTCAGGAAAGAAAAACTCAAAACAATACTTAACCTAAAATTCTTCAAAGCTATTAGAAGTTGTATTTGCTTCATATTCAGATGTGCATTGATTCCTCTCTCTCCAAATGAAAAGAGAAAAAAAGACCTATCGAACCGGAGTTCATATTCAGATGTGAAACTAATGACTAAAGGCTTCATCCCTGAGGTGTAGTTTTTTTCTGTTATACCTATCAATTTGTCTTGACAAACAGGAGGTGCATATTATCTGACAGATAATTTTGAGGATTTCTGTCGTAGATTCTTTTCATTAATGTAGTGATTGAGATAAGATCACCACCCATATAGATGAAAATTTCACTCTGAGAATGGCAATGTTCAGTTGTCTGAGTACATGAATTGGCACAGTTCACTGAAAACTGATCAAGAATGGTTAAAGTGAGATATTAAAGAGGCCCAACCATATGACAATATTGGTTAGAACTACTTTTGAACCCATATAAGATATCAATAATGTATTTCTACCAACACAGAAATATCCCAATATTGGTTAGAACTACTTCAACATCCAAGAAAAATTGCAATGGCAGTGCTAGCAAAAACTGAATCCATGGTTCATAAGGGTGTAGGGTGTTAGCTTTTGAGGGATTGTATCTTGTAACCACTCTGTCACCAAAGTAGATGAGCCACACAGAATCTAGCAAATTAAAGAAGATCATAGAATAAAGTTACATAGATAAAGCTTTTTTTTTCTCGTCACCAGCCTAACTCATCTTAAAACAGATAAAGACATTGAGTGAGGAGGTATAGAAAAAAAAACAATACATCCTTCATCCCACCCCCCAGAATGAATCATTCTTGCCAGAAATTCCCATATAAAGTAAAAATGATTTTTTTCTTTTTCATCATCATCCAAGCCTTATCCAAACTATATCGGGTCAGCTACATGAATCGTGTTTTGCCAATCTGTTCTAGTTAATGCCATATACACTGTTAAATTATGGGCACTTAAATCATTTCTTACTACTTCTACCCACATCCTTTTTGGTCTACCCCAAGCCCTTCTAGCCCCCTTCAACTTGAAACAAATTATAGGTGTTGTTGATGGTCTTCCATGCAGGTGACAAAACCATCTTAGTCTACTTTTTCTCATTTTACCACCAATTGAAGCTACTCCTAGGTTCGTTTTATCACCATCTTAGTCCACAAAGCATAGATGGCCTTACAACTGTTTTATAGAATTTTCCTTTTAATCTAAGTCTAAGCAGTATTCACCTATCGCATAAAATTCCAGGTGTGCCCCTCCATTTTCCCCATCCTACTCTAGTTCTATGGGTGACATCCTTTTCTATCTTGCCCCTGTTAAGAATTATCTAACCAAGGTCACATTGAGTTGTTTCTTGGTCTCCAATCCTAAGTGTACCCTGATTTACACTCCTATTATTATTATTATTATTATTAAATTTACATATCATATATTTTGTTTTAATCCTACTTATTTTCAAACATCTTGTTTCTCAAACATTTGTCCAGAAGCTTCATTTTGCATTTATCCTTCATTAGTTTTATCAATAAAAACAATGCCATCAGCAAACAACATGCACCGCCCTTCTCTTGAATATGCTTAGTCAATTCATTTATGATCAGTGCAAATAAATAAGGGCCAAGTGCTAAACCTTGGTGAAGGCACACCATAACTCTAAAACTTAATGTCTTTTCCATAGGTGTTCTAAAATTGGCTGTTGCACCCTCGTACATATCTTTGGTTAGGTCCATATACCTATTTGGAACCCCTTTATTTTCCAAGACCACCATATTATCTCTCTAGGAACTCTATCATATGTTTTCTCTAGATCAATTAACACCACATGGAGATCTTGCTTTTTCTCTCTCTAAGCTTTTCTATCTTTTTTATCAATAACAGGAAAGTTTCATTATTTAATGATAAGATACAATGGAGCACCACACAGAGAGATAACCTCTCTTAGCTCTCCCCAAGATGACATCGAAATACACAACTTACAGCATAGTCCAGAACATCTGATCCCTTCCCAACCCTTGCTTTTCCAAAGAATCAGCAAAAGCATTTGCCTCATTTTTACCCACTACAGCTTGATCTCTATATTCTGAGTTCTGAGTTAAACATTTGAACTTTCTTCTTTCATTAATATCAATTGACACAAAAGAAAAATAGCTTCCGTGGTTGATCTCTTTGCCATAAACTCAGAGGTAGCATCTTGTGCCTCTCTAAGGGATGCTTGTAATGTTTATATTTTCAGAATATAAAAAGATATTCTTGTTTCATGTCATAATCATTGTTCAATTATTCTCTCCCAAAGTTTCATAGTTTGGCACATGAGTTTAATCCCTTACAACATTGTATTTCACCTTTGTTCTTAAATAAAGACACCATACTGCCCTTTCTCTATTCATCAGGCAACTTCTTTTCTTTTTACACTTCTATTGGAATCTCATTGGGTCCTAACACTTTTCTCTTCATCTTATTTAGTACCTCTTTTACTTCAATAGTTTTAATTTAACGAAGGTATGTATTATTTTTAACACTATTAATATTAATAATCTCTCCTCCATTAGTGTCTTCTACATGTTCATTTAATAATTTTTTTTTCAAATTAGTTTTTCTATGTTTATTTTTTCCCATCTTTTACCAAGACTTTTTGATCTTCCTTTTTAATGCACCTAACATGGTTTAAATCTTTGCCTTTCCTTTCTCTCATACTTGTTAGTTTATAATTTTTTTTCTTCCCTCTTTAGCGCCTAGTTATGATAAAGTTCATCATATGCGCTAAATTTAACTTAACTTTATTTTTAGCTTCCTTTCTTATGAATTTATATTTTTTTCCAATTTCTTGTATTTTAGTCTTTTGCCATTCTTTGTTATGTGTTAATTTTAAATTGATTACATGTTGAACCTCTTCATTCCACCATCAAACTTTTTTTTATTTCCCTTTCTTTATAAAATCTCCCATTTCAAACCATATATCATTAGTCTTTCCTTCTAAATTCCATTTTCTGTCTATTATCAACATATCTCTAAATTGAACTAGTTTTTCTCCTTTTAGGTTTTCCCACCTAATTCTTCAACACCTATTTTCTTCCTTATTTTTCATTTCATAGTGCACACATCTACCACCACTAATCTTTGTTGTGTCATGTGTGATTAAGTTTTCCTAAGAAATTTGCTATAATCTTGTCAAATGTTTTGTCCTCTCCTTGTGTGTCATGTGTAGCACATCACCAATTCACCACTTGTAGATGTTCCTTACAGTATTCCCCATGAATTATGTTAATATACAACTACAACATGGACGCAATCAACAACTAGGGAATTCTTATCAAAATATTACAACTCCTGATGCATCTGTGATGTCTGTAAAAACCATTTCAGATAATCCCTAACCTGATTGTGACTCTAATGTCTTTTTGGACCTTAATGGATTCAAAGGGAATGAATCAAACAGTCAAAGTGAGTTCAATACACAGGGATACATAGTAGAAGAAATTAGAAAAGAAGACAAACACTTTGAATTCCAAGAACAAAGAAATTTTCTTGGTAAGTCAAATGTACCAAAATTTTAATAAACCAAAAATATCAGCATGAGACAAACAAAAGTAAGCAATGACGGTTTACACTGGCTAATGCCAACCTACACAAACAAACATGTAAATACTCTACTGAATTCGACTAAGCCTTAATGCCTTATCTGTTTAGTGTCATATTCATTGTTAACAAACAAACATGAGAACATTGTATTAATATACCAAGAAAGAGTTGCTAATACAAAGCTCATAAATAGGAAAATTTCCTAAGTGAGCAACTAGTCAAAAAAGAAAGACAGAAAACTTAGAAGCGTATGGATAAGCATTACATATTAAAACAGGCAACCTTGGCATAAAAAACATGGAAACAAAATAAAAAATGGTAACATGGAAGTAATAATTTACTACATAGTTGTCAATTTGACGCCTAGGCGGGGGCCTAGGCGACAAGGCGCCCTTTGAGGCTCCCCTCGCCTAATCAACACGCACTTTTTTACTCTCTAATATAAAATACTTTTTTGTTCATTCTTTTTTTGAGATTATAATTATAAAATAGACATTCTTCTTCTTCTTTTCTTCTTTTCCTATAACAAAAAAATAAGGGTTCAGCCCCTATATTTTTTCAGCTTTATTTTCCTTCTTCTTTTTCTTCTCATAAATATGTTGATTCTCTATACTTTAATATGAATAATTATTAATAATTATTCATATTAAAGTATGGTTATGGTACCTATACTTCTTTTTTATGTTAATTCTCTATACTTTAATTATGAATAATTATTAAGGAAATATGGTTATGGTATCTTGAGAACTACCCTAGGATCTATGTTTTTAACATAAAAAAAAATCCATCACCTAGGCGACTAGGTGACAAGGCACCCCCCTGTCGCCTAGCCTCGCCTTGGCGCCTTGAAAACTATGATTTACTACTTCTTGGTTACTCATTTTATGCTCAGTTAAAGGCTTTAAATAGGAATAGTAAGTAAACAGTTGCATCCATGAAAATTTAAAATAACACATTTAATTATGCAATGCTTGTTCGTTGTTACTAGTTCTGACTCAAAATGACCATGAGAAAAGTTCTGAATCAAGCTGCAAACATTACAATCTTACAAAAAAGGTCATAACCTAAGTATCCGAAGCATGGAGCGGGTGGGGAGTGAAAGTAGAATATGGGTGGCAAATTTTAGAGGAACCTAATATTGAGTATCTATGTAGTTCGTGTGCATAAACATATAGACATACATATGCATGTATAATATATGTGTGTGTCTATTTTCATTTGTATCTGATTAATAGATGCACTGGGGGGATAACATTAGGCAGATTTACTTGATAAGTAATATGGTGTGTGTTTTAGCATGTAATCTAGTAATGGGACATCACACCGGAATCAAGAACTGGCAGTGAAATACCAAATTAGAGGTACACATTGGAGATCCTTCAACACCATGGAAGCAAACAAATGATGAGTATACAAATTAGAGGTTACAGCAACATTCCAATGTTTGAATATCCTTCGAATATCATATCCGTCAGGCAAAGGAGAAATAACGAACAAACCATGTGTCGTCCACATCAGATTGATAGAGGTTTCAATCTCATTAAAATAAACAGAGTTTTCTCTACCTTTTGGCTAACCAAAGTTTCAAGCAGGATTAGCACTGATGCCACATAAAATATGCTCACTTTAAATTGAAGAAATTAGATCACACTCTATAACCTGAATGCAAGCATGCAGACATCAAATTTGAATATAATACTAAGTCCTGAGAAATATACTGGTGTTCAACAAAAGTAGCTTAGAAAGAGCATAAACAGTTACAATTGGCTTATGAACCACAATTTATATCTTTCTTAAACACGCTGAGACACACATATGAAGGAGATGTCAATCAAATAAGCTCAAGACAATTAAGTATCTCCTAAGAATTCTGCAAGCGTTCCGAGCATTGAAGTTGTAAAATGAAAGACACAACAACTGAAGGAACTGTTAAGAAGTATAGAACTTACATTTGATCATGCGAGGGAGCACCGTCCAAGGGAAGAGAGTAGGCGCACGCATGCATTGCTGAGGCCGATCAGATCCCCACTCTTCTAATGCGTACCCGGCTTCGTTGATAGGACGACACCATCTTTCTATGATAGGAAGAAAGAGAAATACGCTGTATTCCAATTTCAGATCAATAGCCATTCTTTACAACTTAAGACAGAGGGGGGTAAGAGCAAAGGATCCAACCGAGTAGCAAAAGAAAATGAGAAGAGAAACAAGGAGACAGAGAAATAGAAGAAGGGAAGAAAGAGCCGATAGTTGGAAACTAGAAAGGATGATGACCAACGAAAGCTTGTGGAGGAATCCCTCCATACCTCACAGACACAGACGTGACGACGACTTCACTGTCGGGGTAGAAGAGTTGTTCTCTCCTGAAGTCCTGATTCCTGGTCTTTTTCTTTTTCGCATTTTCAATTTCGTTCGCCTTTTCGGTTTCACCGCCTTACCGGTGGCGGTGGGTCTCCGACTTTTCGTCCGAATCCCGCTTTCAAATAAAAAAGGGTTAAAAATATGTAAAGAGTATTTACAAATTACCACCACAATTTGTTAAGGGTAGTTACCCTTAGCCCCTAAATTTTCATTTGCAGCAAAGACCCCCTGAACCTTCAGATTCTAACATTTTCTCCCATGGGATACGCATTCTAGAGTTTGTCAAGAGATAAAAGAACTCATGACAAAAACCCACAAATCCTAATATTAATAAATAATAAGATATTATTAAATTCAAGAGGTAAAGAACTCATGACGAAAACCCTCAAACCCTAATATTAATAAAATAATAAGATATTATTAAATTAAAATTAATAAACTATTAACAAAATATAAGTAAAGTAGTAATAAAATAATAGCATTATAATAAAATATTACTAAATTAATAATAA